AACCACGTCAAAACACGGAAAAACGAGCCCTTAAGTATCCATTTCTTTCTTATATATATATATATATATATATATATATATATATATATCACAAGTGGTCCCGTCTTTACAATTCGTCCATGCAAAACAATGACCCTCAAGTTAATAAGGAAAAAGCCACATAATAAATTTTTGTTAGTTCTATATTTGAAGGTGAATTTTGAGACGCCAATGTCTCCTCCTACGTGTAGAGCTCGTTTGCGAAGGCGACGGGACCTGGATGTCATAGCATTTTTATAAAAAGAAAACTGTGTTGTCTAAGAAAACAACCTTTATAAAAACCACGTAAACGCCAAACTAGAGGTCCACAAATCCAGCCCTCATGCCGTCGAAGGTGCCAATGGTAAGAAGTGTACATCGTCGTGCATAGGAAAACAAGATAAGAATGCAGAAGGTGAATGAAAAAGTTTGCCTATCTCTTCATACCCGAAAGGATTAGATCTTTGACCAGATCGTCATTAGGGTTATACCAGCACTGCACACGTGTATCAGGACTGGGTAAGTTTGTTGCTATGCGAAATATGGGCACTTGACTTACACTACAATCAAGAAACAATGCAGATGCTTTATGAACAGGCTTCGGTATCACGCGTACTATAACGCTACTGAGATTTCCTAGGGCTAGTGTTTTTAGTGAACAACTACTTTAAAGATATATGTAGACCTCTACAGCAACGTGACACATAACTGCCGAGTGTTCGTGCGAAAGTTGAGGGACCCGAATGTTTGAGGGACGCGAATGTGGCGAGTTCACATTGCTGTGTCCTGCCAAGCAAAGACATAAAGAGGTGCCACTCACTCTCACGTGAGCACAAAAAAAGCATGCGCGTTTCGCAGCGAACACGCCGAGTGAAAATCGTTTATGGGATACGGAATACGCTAGAGGCACAATGTTTCTAACTTCCAAGCTTGGCGCCTGCTTAATTATGCATTCTTATACTCTATCGAATTCTATATGCACAATTAATTCTAAGGAAACATTCAACGAAACCCTCACGGGCAGCTATATAAAAAAAGGTAACTTTTAACGGCAAGATGTAATAATAGTCAAGTGGCCTTCAATAATTTATTATTTTGTCCTCATACAAAATGAGCTGAGAACGCCAAGCTTGCTGCAGAAAAGGAAGCATGAACGCAGGGAAGCAGCTCGAGAGCTGTATCACTGATTACACAGGTCGGCGTGATTGAACGAGTTGCCAACCGCGTCAGTGGCTGTTATGATAATTTAAGCAGGAATTAAGCTTCGAAGGCCCCGCGTTACATAAGGAACAAAGAAAAGTTGTGTTATCTGTTTGCAGGTGAATCAGAGAGGGAATGCGACACGAAATAAATGTGAGGTCATACGTGAAGTCTATTGCCTGACGGGTTCACAAAGTTGTTCAACTCTGCAGCAAGAGCGCATACGTGCCGACAAAAAAAAAAAGGGGGGGGGGGGGTTCGGGCTAGGGAAAGAGATAACACTTTACCCGAAGGAGGCTGGCTTGACCGCTCGTGTATCCATGTTCTCAGTTTGAGTGAATGCTATCGCGCCGCGAGGGTCGTGGTATCGCTGTTAAGCCGGTGATGGCCAGATATATCAGCTAAATGGGGTTGTCCCGGTTTTCGCATCGCGATGAGCACTCGTGGGGTTTACACACGTGCTTTCAAGAGCGTGCACTCGTCTTCTGGGACAGTCTCTGTGTTTCCTGAATCTTCTCGTGCGAATCTCAACATTTTTTATATTAACCGTATAACATAACAGCCGTTATGAATTTGAGCGAAACTTTTGTAGCTCGCACATTTTGGGGCAACGTCGTACACGAGAAATCAGGTTCCAGCGAGGGTAGGGTATGCGGCCCTCGCTGTTGCGACAATCACGTGCGCAGTTAAAGGGACACTAAAGGCAACTATTAGGCCGACGTTGATAGTTGAAATAGCGGTGCAGAAACCACGTAGTGTTACTTTTGTGCCAAGGAAGGGCCTATTTTGAAGTAAAATAGCGCTTTGGTGGTCCGCATCCTGTTAGCGTACTTCAAATTACCCGCCTCAAGAAATAGACCGACAAGACCGATTCACGTCACTGTTGCCGTGCACAACGTTGCCCGGCTTTACTGCGCTAGTAGCAGCAGTACGAAAGCAGCGGGAGCCCCAGCAGCAACAATGGCCGTTGGTCGATTTCCCGCCATTGGCTTCGAGCTAACTCTATGGCTTCGAGGTCGCAGACGTTTCTTGTTCCAACTGCGCCCTGCCAGATGGCACTACCTGTCCTGTGTAACCACGTGAAAGTTGAATTTTTGAATTACTCGCGCCATTCCTCATAGTTACGTCCGGCAGTTCTTTTTTCCATGAATCAAACAGAAACGAACAAGCAGCATTTTATTTTAGCAGCAGCAGCATTTTAGTGCAGTTAGATCAATTACTAGTGATTATTTGTAGGCGGATCTTCTGATGTCATCAAGATCATTTTGAAAATGCCCCACATCGGCGCTTGTATTCTTGTGCATTCACTTTAATTTCTCGGTAAGTATGGCACATGTATTGATAATATTTTCATTTTAGATGTTATACAGTGAGCTTTCACTCTGACGTAAACTGTTATTTGACATTAGTGGCCCTTTAAACTAAAGTTTATGCTATTTTGGTCGTGGGCTTCACCACGTTCAGTTGTTTCTGATTTGGAAATCAAATCTTTCATCGAGGCGACTTGCCATTTCACGCATAGAGTTTCCTAAGGTAAATTAGAGGGGACTCTGGTGCTGTGATCGTTCAGCGACCATCAGAATGATGCGTAGTACACGGATTTGCCTACTCTTTGTACTTGCGGGTGGCGAATCGCACTAGTGACTTCGTCTAATGCTCTGTTTCGGTATTGGTTCGAATGAAAGAATGAACCCTTTTGAACTTTGCGACCCGATTTAAAACTGTAACCCTAAATGAATAAGGAGGGGAAGCACGACCGCTGTATATATGCGGATTTTTGTTTTGTGAGAAAACGGCTCCAAGCCACAAGAACACACACGGAGGCAGACGTACAAAAATTAGATAAATCTGTGCACTACCCATCATTACCATGCTCGCTAAGTGCCGTTCGTTGCAGCTCCCGGAGACACTAGCCCCAGAGTTCTCTCTAATGTATATTTAGGAAACTCTGATTTCACGGCACTGAATTTCATTGTCCTCAATACAAATACTTGAGCACCGTTGTTGTCGGTAGCACCGGAAGTATTGCGTGTTTGAGTACATGGATGAAAACCCCATTTCCGGCTTGGATGTAGGGAAGGAAACAGCGAGGAGGGAGCACAGCGTGACTTTGTAGAAAGAAAGAAAGAAGGAAGAAAGGAAGAAAGAAAGAAAGAAAGACAGAAAGACAGAAAGAAAGAAAGAAAGAAAGAAAGAAAGAAAGAAAGAAAGAAAGAAAGAAAGAAAGAAAGAAAGAAAGAAAGAAAGAAAGAAAGAAAGAAAGAAAGAACATAATAAGCGCTTTTGCACTATTGATGTACTTTATGGAGGCTTTAACGTACTTTGTACTATTCACGTGGAGACGATTATCAGAAGAGTTATAAAATGCTGCAATGTGCCACTGACAGTGCACTTACGTAATCGTATCTGGCCTTCTCACTCCATCTTTCTACACCACTTCCAAGTCACACAATGGCAAATTGCGGTTTGAAAATGCAACTCCACTCTCCGAGTTTTTCCTCAGCGTTGGCTATGTGTGGATTTACTCAAGTCCTGATTCTATGCCCCTATCTAAATGGTGTATGGATACTGAATCAGACCTGGTCAATTCAGCGTTCTTCAAAACGAGCTGTGGCCTTTCACATTCCACTATTATGAATACATGTTTGTTTTATAATGTTACATTGTTTTCACAAGGTCTCCAATGGAGCGGCTTTCATAGCAAAGCTAGTTATCATGACGTTTGTTCGTACTCCACACACTTGAGCGATTGGACAACGACACGTGGGGGCGGGCACAAAGCGTGCAAACAGAAAATGTGGCTTTCGGAATGCTTCCAATTGTATATGTAACGTTTATCAAAGGTTTACAGGTGCCACAAAAAGAGAGGATTATCGCAACTCGCGCGCGAGGAAACATCTCTACAATTGTTCACACCATAAATAACTCACTCTCCGGCACCTCTCCGAACTGCAGACTTTATCTTATTTGTTCGCAGATGTGTCGTCTAGAGGCGCTGCCCTTGAAAGCGGGTTTGTTTTGATGAGCGAAGGGTGCCTTTCCCAAGGTTCCATGATCGAGGCGTTGATATTGTGCAATGAGAGTTAGTTTTGCAGGGGCAACTGAAAACACTGTGCGGTATAGCTTCTTCCTGAGTAAAAGAAACAGCCAAACTTTCGCAGAAATGCTCATCCGAACTTTTTCGCTAAAAATGACCGCGCTTTCCAAGACAATACCTCGCTACCATTAGTGTATATACTGCCGTTGTCCAAGTGCCAAAAACAGCAGGTGACTTTACGTATTTTGAAGCCATAAAATTATGGCATGAGTCTTTTTTCTCGGTGCATATAGGACCAAACTCCCGTTTTCACCCAGCATTTGTACAGGTATACGTGAGGAAAGACCCCCTACGTCTCTTCAGAATTCTGCAACAGCCCATTGTAGATCATTACAATATTGCATTAAGTCATCTAATGGTCAACGTCAGAGTATACTTATAGGCAATGAGAAAGCAGGTCTGGCATTCCCGTCCTTTAACATTCTTACTAACATGAGAAGGGCTAAGATGAAACGCACGGGAACTGGTTTCGACATACTGTATAGCGCTGCCGTGAATAGCTGCCCGCGTCGTTATGAAAGGCACCGCTATCAAGTTCCAATCTACTCACGCAAAGACGTCGTTATCAGCAGAACTCGAACAGCTTCGCCTCACATTGCATTACATTGAATATCGGGCGATACCTTCTGCACTGAATTGCTAACCGCGCAGAACACTAAACACTCATGTTTTAAGTTGCGGTGGTAAAATAAACCTCCTGCAAACCAAGTGTATGGGTTCACTGTAACACATGCAGTTGGATGAAAGGGGCATTCCAAAACATATCTGACTTCATTTCAACTCTGAAGCAGCATGAAAAATTGCTCGCATCAAGTTCAGGGCTAGTCGGGAAGTTGCTGGTCCCGTCAGCCTGTGAATATGGTTCCCATCGAAATGCGCACTGCCACTATCACTTTGGGCAGACAAACTAAACTCGCTGCCACAGACGAGTTGTGGTGACACTTGCGCCGTTAAAGCATCACATGTTTTCGTCGTCGCAACAGTGTATACTTTACCAGGCACCTTGCGAACTGACATCAAGAACTTGTTGCTGCACAACTTTTGTACGGTGTGCCTACAAGACGTGATTGTGATAGTCACTCGAGAATCCAACGTTAATGTACTTCGACATGAAAACCAGCGGCTTGTCCCATTTTTCGATGCCGAACTTGGACTTCGCCTCCTTTCGGACGTCACGCAGTCATCTGATTACAACACCTGTTTAAATATTGTGGTCACCGCATTACCTTCAGTGAAACGACAATTGGCCGTAATCACTGTGTTTCGTATGGTTCTTGAATCTCCTAGCCTTACTTCGTATAACAGCCCGTTGTGTTGCTATCGCATTCATTGATTCAGCCTTGTGCCGAAACTTTCACTTTTTCTCGCTCTCTCTCTTTCCCTCTTCGCATATACAAAAAAACTTGACGCATAAGCTGAACTTTGGTCACGGGATCGAATTCTGGCAGCGGCGGCTGCATTTTCGATGGAGGCGAAAATGCTGTAGGCCCGTGGGTTCAGATTTGGGTGCACGTTAAATAACCAAGGTGGTCAAAATTTACGGAATTCTCCACCATGGCGTTTCTCCTAATCATATGGTGGTTTTGGGATGTTAAACCCCACATATCAATCACTCAAGAAGCTTAAGCCCATGTTTTATTAAGCTCATTCTTGGGAATATAAGACCTGCACCCTTGACTGTATAAGCTTTTTGGATAACAGTACTTCGCTGTAAGTGCTACGTCAGTCATCTCTGAGCCACGCTTTTTGCGTGTCTACTTACATTTCTTCGCGCACATCATCATGAGCACGTAGTCCTAGGATTTCCTGTCATTGTAGTGTTTCCAGTTTCAATTATAAAGCTTGCTTCTTGCAACTGTTTTGCTCCATTTTTTGTCAACGCAGGATGACCCGCTTCAAGCCAGGGTAGCGAAGACCTACAAAGACATGCACACTTTCCAGACTGTGGAGTTTGTCCAGAACCGGGTGGGTGCATCCTGACTTTCTAATGTCAATGCAGAATGGATCAAAACGGGCGTTGTAAACCGATTCCATCAACAGCACAATTTTTTTCTTCCTATCCTGAATTGGTGTCCTGATCATGAACTTAAATCTGTTATCAACAACGTTGCGCGATGTCACTTTCGAAAATTGTTCCCTAATTGGGCGTTTTGTGGAGGAACCCGCCGTCATTGGGTATATACCTCCTTGAGTTTTTTTTTTTTTTGTGCGAAGCATTTCTTAGAAAAATTCGGCGCCTTTGAGCGTATATATACCTATCTATCAAGCCGCTTACGTTTAGGTGCTCTCGTGGTCTCCCCCTTCACTTGGCGCGCGTACCAAAATTACCATGGGAAGGTAAGATGGTTTGACAAATATAACGCGCTGGTGAAGACGTGAATAATGTCACAATCCCGTCGCGTACGTCGTCAAACGCATCTCGCGAGACAGTGGCACATACCCACAAGCTGGTATGTGCTGCTGGTATGTGGGTATGTGCCACAGGGAATTGACACTTCACAATCCCGTCGCGTACGTCGTCAAACGCATCTCGCGAGACAGTGGCACATACCCACAAGCTGGTATGTGCTGCTGGTATGTGGCCATGTGCCACAGGGAATTGACACTTAGTATCTATGCAGGAACGATTAGAACACACATGGGCAATTTTAACGCGCGAGCGTTAAGAAATACCGGACACCGGTAGCTTCTACCTGACGAATGCAAAGAATAAATGTCAGGGTCTCATCTGGAATTGAACCCAAGCACTCTGCGTGGCAATTAAGCATTTTGCCACAGAGCTACGCCAGGCCTTGGAATCACTTTTCAAATAGGCGCTAACGTAGTAAAACATCAGTAGTGGTTGCAATGCTGCGTACCCAATTTTATAAACACTACATATGTACTCCTTCAATACAGTCGTCCCGTCGGGTTAATGTAAATTGTGGTGAGTAGCCATGCGCTGAAGTTGATTTATGTAGCAATGTCCAGGGCCAGCAACTTCGCGAGCATGAGCGCTTCATATCAGCTTCTGGTGTTGCCAATACGCATGTTCCAGCTGGCATCGTTGCGCAAGTGCAAGAAACTGGTTATATAAACTTCTGCAACTCTTCCATACGTCTCTGCGTACAATCTTTGTACTTATATTTAGCGGCATTTCGTGACTCATTAAAAAAATTTCAACATGGTCACCTTCCCTCCGTATGCTTTGCATACGGAGGCAAGGCGATGACTGTGCAGTTTTATAAACATTGCATATGTACTCCTATGCTAGAGCCGTCACGTCAGGTTAACGTCAATTGTAGTTAGGTGCCATGAGCTGAAGTTGATCGCTGTAGCAATATCCAGGGCTACCAGCGCAAGTGCTATGAACTGGTTATGTAAACATCTGGAACTTTTCAACATATGTCTGTGCGTGCAACAATTATACATATATTAAGAGTCATTTCATGAAGTGTCGCTCAATTAAAAAATTATAACATGCTCACCATCCCACCGCATGTTTCGCATAACGTCGATTCCCAAGGTACGTAGGTGGGATCTCCCAAATTTTCGTACTTCCGATGCCCGCTGTAATAACGTGGCTTCGGGGTGACAGGTGGTCGGTTGAAATTGAGGTTTGCAAAATACGACGCGAGGGAGGTCGGGTACGAGTGCTTCACGTTGAACAAAAAATAGATATCGTCGACACCTTTGTCCTAAAACTGAAAATGCATTTATTTGTTGGTGCTTTACCAAACTGCGTTCATACGAGGCACGCTGTTTTTGGTGTAGAACTTTACGTATAATTTCTTGGGTTTGTAAATGGGCATGCAAGACGAAGACGTGGATATTTTTGAATTTTGACCCCCTCCCCAACCCTTTCCTCTCGAAATGTGTTCCGCCGTGGCCGAGAGTCCATGAGTTTGGCAGCGCTACACGTTGCCTGCCACGTTATTGCAGTGAGTGAAGAGAGAGAGTACATTCTCCTAGGTTCAATATTTAAATTGGAATGAGCTAATTCCTAACGACGTTCTAGTTTTTTTTTTTGTTGCCAGGATATGTATTGGATGCACAGGTGCATACGATACACCAAAGGGGAAAGTCGCATCAGACCTCGCTGAAGAATGAAGTGAAGCCGAAACTAAATTTTGACATACTGTGAAAGCAAAGCACAGGTTGTTAGTCAACATTTTTTGGCCCCATTATGAGTACAATTATTTGGTGTGCTTGATTAGTGCAGCCAGACACGGTGGTCATTGTGCTCGGCGGCTGTGAGTCGCGGTATTGAATTCCGGCCGCGGGGGCTACATTTTCGATGGAGGCGAAAATCCCAGAGGCCCGGTGCTTAGATTTAGGTGCACATTTAAGGACCCAGGTGGGTCCCGATTTCCGAAGCTTTCAATTGTGGTGTCTCTCATAATCAGGTAGTTTTGGCCCGTTCAACTCCAGCAATCATTATTGCTTTGTTAGTTTATGAAACGCAGTGCAGACCTTTTCCACTTTTTCTGGAACCATCCCACGCTTCTGACGTCTAATCCTAATCCCCAGTTCTCCAATCCTTCTCTTGTCAAAATCCCCACTCCGGGGCAATGGCTAGAATGACTCACTCTGGCTGATCCAGTGGGTGTGCGCAACGCGTGAACGTGGGCTTGTGTCTCAGCCAGGTGCTTTCGGACTTCTAGAGGGCCGACCACATTGCAGTAGAGTCAAGATTCATCCATTTACAGCGCGATTCGTTGATATTACAAATCGCTGATTACGGTAGTAGTATCTTAGACGGATGGCATGGGTTTTTGACGCTATGCCAACTTGGCCTCGTTCAGTGGGCCTTTCGTGGGGCCCGAATTGAAAGCTTTTACGACCACTTCAAAGGTGACAAAGGTTACAATCGCGTGTCTGTGTGGATAAGTAAGCGTGTCCGGCTAGTTTGTATTTATGAAAAGGTGAACTTAATCGAAGCTAGCTGATGACGTTAGCCTCACAATAAACATGAGGGGAGGGATAACGATGAACACCAGTGTTGAAGACACTAATGGCTTGATCTCGCATTTAGGTTGCTTTTCCCACAGACCCCGACGATTGCAATCAGCCTGATCCGTGAACAATATAAGCCGAGAGGAAAACCAGGTGGAGCGTTTCCCTTTTTGGCCTCCGTCATTTACGTAGTACACTAATTAATCATCACCACTAGGACTGACATGTTATAGCTACATTAAAGAGCTACATATTTTGTTAAGTTAGCTTCGTGTAATAGTCATTTATTTTTCTCTAAGGACTCGAGGCCAGCACTTGGGCTGTGGTGCTTGTAGCCCTACCCCAATTAATATCGCCGGTCATTTTTAATAAAGCCTTTACTAATTAACTTCGAAACAACTAATTTTCCTTGTGCGTGCGGACATGTGCAGATGGCTGAGTGGGGCAAGTTCAACAAGGCGCGCATGCCCATCATGGAGGCCTTGGAGAAACTCAACGACCTGGTGGACGAAAGCGACCCCGACGTGGACATCCCCAACATTGTGCACGCCTTCCAGACTGCGGAGAAAATTCGTGCCGCGCACCCACAGCAGGACTGGTTCCACCTCACGGGCCTCATACACGACTTGGGGAAGGTGTGACGTTTTCTTATTCATGCGATGAGGACTACTTTGCTGTTATTGGCCTGAATGGCTTTGCATCTCTTGCCTGAATGACTGTGCTTTTAGATGTGAAACATCTCTAGCTCGGGTCCATGTCCAGCGGGTCTATTTCACTCACTCTACGCATGCTCAACTTTTTTCCTCTCCTGCGCTTCCCCCTCTGGCCTCTGCTAAGATGGGAGCGTCTGCTAACCTACACTCGCTCCCTTATTTTCTAGGCATTCCTACCCACGGCGCTTGCACCACCATTGCGCATGCGCGTCCTATCCCCCTCTTTCTTCTTGCCGACCCTCCACCTCTCGCCTCAACGCCGTCGCAGGCAGCGTCTGCTAGCGAGTTTCTTGATTGAAAAACCCGACTGCCGGCGCTGCACAACCGTTCACTGGCCACCCCGTATTATAGGCACTGGATCTTGACTTTTAAGGGAGGGCCGGTGAGAGATTTCTCCTGTGCATTGTTGAACAATAACACTTCGCAGCGTGCGCGTTAACAAAAAGTGGACTGCGGGTCTCTGCGTCCAATCGGAGTCTTCTGTCGCTCACTGCTCATCAGCAGCGATTGGCATACCGTATTCTAGTAGGAAGCACGGCTCCATCACGGCGTGCTTTCCGCCTCCCCAGGTTTCTCTCCTGAGCAACGCCGCGATGAGCGCCAGTGCCAACGCCGCCACCAGTGTAAGCGTTGGCATCAGCTGCTTCGCATCTACACATGGTTTCCTTTAGCAGGAGGTGGTGTCATTTTTGCTGCCCTTGTCATATCTTGTGGGACCCCATTTTTTTCATACCTTTTCACACTTTTAAAGCTGGGCAAGTGATTGTTGCAGTTAAAACAAAACGCTAGCATTAACCACCACCACATAGTGCCGCAACTCGTGGTGTACCTCAGCTGAAAAAAATGTCATCGATGAAAACGCTCAACGGCAGTCGCATTCACATGTGAAGGAAGTGGCGAAAAATGATAAGAGGTCAGTTTACTTGTATCAATTCTGAGTCTATTTACCATAGTTTTGCATAGCTTCATTTTGATCTCTGCCATTTCTGCACATTTACAACGGTGTATTTCTCATCTCTTAAGATGAGTCAGTGTGTTAAGTCCACTAATAATACATTCAATGTATTAAAAATGAATTACGAACAGTGCGCACGTAGCAGGGGCGTAGCCAGAAATTTTTTTCGGAGGGAGTGGTAAAAGGGTTTCAACCACCCTTTTTGTATAGTTTTGTGTATGTGTTTTTATGCGACAAACAAGATACACAGCGTAAAAAATTGCAAAGTTTCGAAAGAGAGGGGGCTGAACCCTCCCCCAGCACCCCCCCCCTCCTCTGGCTACACCAGTGCTTCATTGACGAAGTTTGAACAGTGAATACTGTACATGATACCTGTTTTGACAATGTTACCTACTAAATTGTCTGCACAGGTGATGGCGTTCTACGGTGAACCCCAGTGGGCAGTGGTGGGCGACACGTTCCCGGTTGGCTGTGCGTACCAGGACTCTATCGTGTACCGAGACACGAGCTTCGTAGACAACCCAGACCTCACAGACAACCGTTACAACAGTCGCCTGGGCATCTATGCCAAGCACTGCGGACTCGAAAAGGCACGCACATGCCTTTTTTTTTTTTATGAAAACCCTCGGGCGTAAGCCCCATTGCATTAGGCTTTTCTTTTGCTCTTCTTTTGGGTGGCATATCTAAGCAATGTCTCGAGTACTGCAGCTGTCCTCCAGGAAACAAAAAGACTGTCAGAACAGCTTCTAGATTCGTACGAGTTTCGAACTTCACTAAGGCGGTCAATATCTATTTGTCGTGGAACGCGTAAAGCTGCGTGAGATACAAGTATGAAAGCGATAGGACAGGACGCAGTGAAGAGTTAACAGAATTCTAACTCCTTTGGTCACTTACACAGACATTCTACAGCAGTACAGACTAGGCCATCTCCGCTATCCTCCAGCTCACAAAAACCTCCCTCGACGTGATGCCGTCCTGTGGCGCAAGCTTGAGACAGGTGTCTTTCCCAACTCCTCGCTTTATAGCAAGGTATACCCACACCTGGTGACACCAAACTGTAAATACTGCTCACAATTGGCCACCCTCATACACACGGCATGGACGTGCCCATTGTACGCTGACGCTTCTCACACAGAATATACATGGGAGTCCCTTCTGCATATCACTGACTCGGCACAGCAACGCCGGGTAATTTCACGCACATTGGAAGCCGCGGTGTCCTAAGGGATCCCCGCGGACCTCCTCTAAGCAGCGTAACCAACCTCTCGGCCGGTCCCCTCCCTCTTTCGGGAGTAATAAAGTTTTGATCATCATCATCATCTGTTCTGTATGGAGAGATCCCCACACTTGCGTTAATTCTTCATGCTATTGCTGCCAAGATTAGCTTCATACCAAACTCCGATAAAAATATTGGCTCTTGAGCACAGTGAGATCATTTTGATCATAGGGACGTTACTTTTCGAAGAATAACTGCATGCCATTATTTTCATTCCGTTCATAATCCAACAGAAACTTTATGGGCCATTTGCACCGTGCAGGCTACAGAGAGGTTTGGAAAAACACAGTAGTGCGCACTGACCTCTTTTTTTAAAATTTTCAACGATATTGCTCAGATTTGTGGTGCCTGTCTGGAAATTCGTCAAGATGATAAAACATTATGACATGACATATCCTGCCTGTTGCTCGAACCAGCCATGTAGTGAGAACAAAGGGGAAAAAAGAGAGGCGCGTAGACCTGTACAGGCTGCCACTTTAGAAATAAATATTTTCTTACGCAAAAACTACCATGTTGAAACATTGAAACAACCCGTCCATCTTGTGTTTTCTCTGAACAAACAACACGGTTGGTCTACACTTTGCTCTTTCTTTTTTTTTCTTGCTCACTCCCTTCGTGTGGTGAGCTGTCACAGAGCCTACGGAAAACGACTGTTCGGGAACTTCTCAGAACCAGCCATTATGAATGCTTCACCTAATGAAGTTTGTTTACTTCGTCGCTCACCCACATTCCGATACACCCCTACTTCAAACCTGCCTCTGGCAGGAACGCGCATAACTACTCGGATACTTTCATGCCTTCAGGCGACCTAATTTCACTCTGGCTGCAGGAGTTTGCCAGTGCATTGGGTAATAGAGGGTAAGCTCATAAAAAGGTTTGCGTAAGCGTCGAAAGTCGGGGTTTTGACGTGATTTTATCATATATAACTGCATACTATGGCCATAATATGCAATTAACCATACCGCATTTATGGTCATTTTTTTACACAAAGTCATGATGGCCTCAAAATTTTGTCAGCCATTTTTTATTATTGCTCACATAAGTGCTTCGAGTGTACTCTAAAAATGACATCTTATTGCATTCATGATCTAAACGTAAATGTCGGTCGCAACAGTTCTCTTTTCATCGCCATGATCTTTGGCTGCTTATTATAACGATAATTAGTACTATGGAAACGCCTCCACGTGCAGGTTTTGATGTCATGGGGCCATGACGAGTACATGTACCAGGTCCTGAAGAACCACGGAGCAACGCTTCCCGATGAGGGCATGTACATGATACGGTTCCACTCCTTCTACCCTTGGCACACTGGAGGCGACTACATGGAGCTCTGCAACGACAAGGACATGCGCATGTTGCCTTGGGTCAGGGAGTTCAAGTAAGTGACCTCATGTAATCAGAGTTTGGTGCTAGTCGCGACAGTTAGCTTGCCTTTACTGTCTGTGTGGAAGAGGCTGTGGGAGTGTCTGTTAACTTAGTCACCCGACTGGGAAGCCTGGTTCAGCAGATAAGTGGTAGGACCACCCAAAGATATTGTCTCGAGGTCTCGCTTACTTCAAAGGGCATTTTGGGGCGCTGTTGCTATTGTGCGTTGAAGGCGAGTTTGCGCACGTGTCGCAGAACGTGAGCAATGCTTCGAACACTGGCGCTTTGTTAAAGCAAAAATTTAAAGGGCAGTGAGATGGCGCTCACCCAAAACTAGAAAAAGAATAGCCTCAGCAAAACCACAGTAATGATTTGGAACGAGAGGTTATCTTTGCGAGTGTCCCATCAGACGTGCAGCTTATACAAAAAAAAATTTAAAAAGCTATGGCACACAAAAATGTAACGAAAAATCTTTCATGAAATTTTGAACGGTTGACAAGGCAACTAACTGCAAAGGTTTTCTCTTCTAAACTTTCTTAATCCGTATGATTGGCGTTTATTGAAATATATTTACACGTTTTTACAGTCTATAGGATTGCATCGACTGACTGACTGTTTTTATTCGAGTGCTGTTACAGTCATGAAACGTTACATATCATGTTCACATTTATTTTGAACTTTCATGAACAATTGGTGTGAAATGGTCAGATAATATTTGGGATGTAAACTAGCAGTGTACGCTCTATTCTTAAGGCATACAAATTTTTGTGTTTACACGAGCTCCTACTAACGACTGTATTACGTATTAAGACAAGGCGCAAGTTCAGGCAGAAATAGAGGTTGAACTGGCAAGAAATTGATGAGCTGGCCATGTCACAAAAGCCAGTGTTTAGGCAAGTGGAAACGTCTTCTTCGGGGCCTTAATAGTTGCTTCTCTGATGAAAGCAAGTTCCCTTGCCGAAACGTTGTCTTAAGCGTGATGCCCTGCTCAGCGATTTCTGCTACGCATTGATACATAAATTTCTGTTTCGTTTTCTTGGGCAACGAATGGCATCACCGTGCTGTCACTCCATTTCTTTAAATATGTAGGAATTTCAAGCTTCCGATTTGTGTTTAAGTGGGAGACGTGGGACAGAATGTACTATAGAATGGGAAGAGGGGAGAGCGTTGTCATGAGCTAGTGTGTTTTGTCTTTCAGTAAATTTGACCTCTACTCAAAATGCGAGGATGTTCCTGACCTTGAGGCGCTGACGCCTTACTACCAGTCTCTGATTGACAAGTACGTTCCCGGAATTGTCTGCTGGTGATGCCAGGAGATACCGGGAGACTCCACCCGCGGCTGAGGCTGCCCTAAGGGGCTCGACTTCTTAACCACCGTTTTAGCTCTAGGCTCGTGCATAGGCCAGGCCCTTCATCTAAAGTCTGCGATCACATGCTATTGAATACTAGAGTCGTGGCTGTTAGTGTACAATGATTTTAGCAGTCAGCGCTACATGCAAGTTGACACATTTAAGCATTGTTCTTGCCCTACGTGAGTTGTGCAGTGATCTCAGGGTCGCGACGTCGCTGTTGCGTAACATTTTACTCTTGCGCTTATCAACGTTCAAGGTGCGTACACAAGTGTTCGGTAAACGACGCTCAGATTTGAGGGTGCACAAACGAACGTGCATATATACTTATAATTGGACACTTCTTTCCCCTTGGGATCAGTGTTTAAGGGTGCCGTGTCGTTTTTGTTCTAGAACGCTGTGCGTAGTGCTGTTTATAAAATCACATTTGCGACTTCCAGGCACACGATACTTTCACGCACATACATGTCACATAGAATTTAGCACTTGTGAGACTTCGGGTGCAGAGCCTCAAAGACTATTAAGGAGCCCCATGTAGTTTTCGTTTTAGAAAGTTATGCGCAGCGCTGTGTCCTAAAACGAATCACGAGTGCTTTGCAGCATCGGGATGTGTAGCAAGAATAACTTCTGTGAAGTTGTGCGGCACATGTATGACCAGGGCGAAGGTTCGTCAGTTTTATTTTCATGCCCATCATCAAAGACTGCCGGGGGCAGTTTCATCAGTCAAGTTTTTTGGGGAGGGCATAAATGGGTGCATGATTCACAGTGTGACATAAAAAAATATTTCAAACCACAACAAGACTGTGAACTCTTTCATCAGACCTTTTTCAGCAGTCTCAACAATGTCGAGTAAAGCTCATGGCTTAGTTGCTCGGATATTAAACGCTTTGATTGGGATGGGACAGACCTGGGATCTCTTTCTTCTCAGAAGCAAGTTGCGTGACCTTGCACATTGATGTTCATTTAACGCAAACACTTGCATGATGTGTGTAACTACTTCGAAGCTTACTCTCTTTTGCGAGCTTGGATGTTTGTTTGTCAGCCTGAGTAAATGCCTAATCCACTACGTGCATAAATGTGATGAGGCATCACACCTATGCATGTATACGTGTTTCTCTGAAAGAGTAAGTGAAATAACCATCACCGAGGGCTTGTTCAGAGCAGTCATACTGAAAAAACAAGCGTCAATTGACAATTCACTTGAAAATTACAATACTCAAACAAAACCAATCATATTTGTTTTTGCATTTACTGTTTGTGTAAGGGATGGGAAAGTAATCGTTAAAATGTTTGATCACACTCATCATTAGCAAGTTATCTGAACTCTCCGGTTTCGCTTGTGCTTTCAAGATATGAATTGTCTGACATGAGAGGCCTGAGCCTGATCGTGAACATCTGGAACCATAAAAAATTAGACCATCTCCCACTAAAGGGAATCATGTGTAGATGCGGCGCAGTGGGTGCTAACGTTTTCACTCGTGGCAACATTGACGCTGGCGTTCATCAAGCGAAAGCTAAGTAAAGACGCCCTTGACGGAATTCCGAACGCGCGATCCAGTGCCTACATATACGGAATGATCAGTGAACGGTTGTGCAGAGCGAGCAATCGGTTTTTACTAGCAGACGGCCTTGCGAGGCGAGAGAGGGGAAGTGCAGGGACAGTTTTGCGGGTGTCACAAGCGGCGAGCAACCACAGGCTAGGGAGAAAGTCACGTCAATGCGTGCGCACTGCCAGAGAAGGCGTGACCTACTTAGCACCACCCCAACACCTGTGGCCAGAGGAGCGAGGTGTGGACAGAGGGACAGCGTTACACATGCTTGTAAAAGAGCTGCTTCACATGGAGCAAAAATTTTCCCGCCCGTTTATATCACTTGACCTTACACAATACATAGATGCACAAATAAGAACACGCAACAAAAAGAACAGAAATAAAAAATGCAAACCCACCTCACACTTCTCCGATAGTGCAAATCTTCTTGGGTGTCTTACTGCTGGTCAATGCTCTTTGTAATCAAGCGACCATCACACGCATCGAAAACATGAGTCAAAAGTTCACTCTCAAACGAAGGGTCCCGGAACTAGGACAGGAAGCTGACGACATTTGAGACTTAGAAAACATGTATATTTCCTGCCAAACCACGCACGAGATACACAAATATCTTCATACGGCCGGTACTTGCAAAAATAAAGCCCTTGGCATAGACATCACTCCGAACATAACAAGGCATGGAGCGCATGATTGGAAAACGATAGTAGCATAACTTAGGAAGAAAACACGACTGTGATTGCAAGACTCACCAAATATATTATCTGCCCTAATATCGGGTCTGTCCTGCAACCACGAACACCCACTTGCACATATATGTGCACGGTTGTAGGCAGGACGCTATCATGACCAAATTTACTTCAATCTCTACAGCATGCAGCATTGACGCGTGGATGAAACGAGCAATGCTGCAAGCAATGACTTCCAGGGGTTGATGCAGAATCACGCGTATCAAATGCATCCGATGTGGGAGGCTATCCTTGTGTTATTAGTCACATGCTTCACTACACTTTTATTGCTCGGAGCTTATGAGCTACACAAAAATGACTGCGATGAACCATCACGCTTACACTGGAAAAGGAGCTATTTACTCGGGAAGGTGCGTGGTTTTTTTTTTTTTTTTTTTTTTTGCTTTGGCGGGTGCTTGGCGCAATGTTCTTGTCATACAGTTACGATCACACTCATGCAAGGACTTGAAATCTTGGTCATCAACACGTGAAATGCGGTTGCTTTCTGATGAGCCATTTACGTGTGGCATCAGACAATCTATAGGTTGGTGTGTTCTTTCACTTGTCACCGAAGAAAACTTCAGGTGCGCTGACAGCTCCTCCGAGACAAAAATAAAAGTGCGCAAGTAACGTTAACACAGGCCTTGGTGTTAGCTAAAAAGTTACTAGAGAAGCGACCTGTGCTACACGGGTTCAATGCTTGCTTCCAACATGTGTACTGACTTTTTACTGCGCGTTACTACACATCATCATCAGTTTGTATTCCAATACTGTGACAAAAAAACGATTTCGAGTTGGCTTGTGCATGTCACTATTGTCTCTTCAGACGAGTGTGTCTGGAAATTTGTTCAGTTTATCTCTTCTCCTGCAACGCCATAGAGATTGTCGGGACTATCGTAAAGGTGCTGAAGCAATACTTTTATTTTGTTTCGAATGCGTGCTTCGAACGTCTATGTTTGATAACAAGAGCTGTTCCAAAAAAGTATGCGTTAAAAACATGTTGACAGCAAGCACCAAGGGGAGCACCACGAAACATGGAACATTTCGTATCATGGATTAACCTCGCCCCTATGAGGCATGCACAATCTCTCGTTAAGTAAGGCTATTAACTGCAGAGAAATTAAAAAGTGGGGCGGTTTTGTAAGGTGTAGGTTACATTTATCGAGATTGATCCTATTGAAAAGCGAATAATGCAGTCTTATAAAGAACGAACATAGCTAATGTATCCGTTCTCAAGGTGAAACCTTAAGTTACTCATCAGACGCTGGCCTTCCGGCACAAAGAATCACGTTACCTTAGCGAGCTTCATAAAAATCGCGGCTTGAGCCTGAACCAAAATCAGGCATTCTGCCTAGCAGTGAATAGTTCTGCTACAAAAGTGGTCATACCAGTGCTTATTCTTATGTGTATTCATAAGAAGTGAAATAACCAAAGCTACCTATACATGCGAATAACGCTGCATAGAACAAATTTCAATGTCGAAACCCGGCTGGGGCGGCTGCATTTCTCATGGAGGCGGAAATGAAATGTTGTGGGCCCGTGTGCTCAGATTGTGGTGCACGTTAAAGAACCCCAGGTGGTCGAAATTTTCGGAGCCCTCCACTACGGCGTCTCTAATAATCATATGGTGGTTTCGGGACGTTAAACCTCACATATCAAACAACAAAGCTCAATGGAGGCTTCTTGAAAGGGGTCTTGAAGCGGCACAATTAAGTACTTGAAACCGCTTTGTAGAAAGACCAGTACATCCATGCCTCTTTAACAGAGTTGGTGTTGCTTGGCAGAAGCGCAGAACTGCACTTGGCGTATGCGAATCACACAACGTGGAAAGAGTTTCACGTTGTCCATCTATTACGAAGGGCTCCACCACAATTCATCGTCATCATCGGCAGCAATAACAGTACGAGCCACAGCATCAACAAAGAGTGCAGGTACTCACTCAACCTCTAAGGCACGCCCCACCGTGGTGGTCTAGTGGCTATAAGGTACTCGGCTGCTGACCCGCAGGCGGCCGTATCGAATCCCGGCTTCGGCGGCTGCATTTTCGATAGAGGCGGTAATGTTGTAGGACTCTGTGCTCAGATTTGGGTGCATGTTAAAAGAACCCCAGGTGGTTGAAATTTCAGGAGCCCTCCACTACGGCGTCTCTCATAATCATATGGTGGTTTTGGGGCGTTAAACCCCACATATCAATCAAACCTGTAAAGCACAGTTGACGATGGTTTCAAAATGGGCTCACCAAGTGGCTTTCGACTTTGAGTTGTATTGTGTGAATACAGAAGTACTCCCATGGATGTTTTGCTTTTAGGGACGAAGCTCCTTGTAGCATCACCTGGTCGGTCTTCGATCGGCGTGACTCAATTCGGCGTTCCACTCCAGTAGCATCTCTCTTGTCATTAAATAAATGGAATTGTGCCATAGAGCACTATGATGAAAAACTTTATCATATATACTGAAGAATGGATGGAGTACCTAGTCCGGGACCCCATTCGCTTGCGACCCCGTCTTTGCGCGGGCCACTATAGGGCCTTTTGGACCCCCTGGTTCGGGCGAGACAGGGCTGCCTCCCACCCATCTCTACTGAAATCCTTAGAAAGATGTGTTTCAGATGTGTTTATTTGACACTCCCACGCTATATAATAGAGTGTAGCTAAATGAGTGTTACATAACCTACATTTGGCTAAGGGGTACTTGCCAGGGTCGATTTTGAAGAGTATACTTGTGGGTTGGGATATAATAACGTTTGTAAGTGGCGCCATGCTATCTGTGCGGCTTTACTGAGTTGAGGATGCGGTGCCGGATATATTCTTCGAGCAAGCCTTTGGTTTTATAATACTTCAGTGTATGTGGTCAGGTGGACAGTTTGATCTGGAGGGGCTGGAGTCCCTGCACTAAAGTTAGAGTCCCGGAGTAAGAGAGCTCGGGTTGAGGCATGAGCTAGCTCGCTGCATTTGACTCCACTGGGACCAGGTATTTATATAACTTGTTTCCAGTCTGCCTCAGGACGGCCGATGGCTGCTTGTGAAAGTATTGTGCATGCTGTTTAGAGGACTCACTTTGCCTTTAAGGTAGTCAGATAGGCTGCCATTGAGTCCGTAAGGACGAAGGTGGACGCTTGGTTTCTGTGTGCGAGGAAGATAGCGACCTGCTCCATGCTTGTGACATCATCCTGTATAGTATATATACAGTCGACACATTTCCCCGGTTTACTACCACCAGCGTGCATTTTCATGTATGTGACAAGGCGGCGTCCAAGAAAAAAAGGTATTCTCGTCATCGGAGTATAATTGACTTTGGCTCTGGCTTCGCGCTTGTCTGCATGTAATGTGGTGTTCATATTCCAGTTTCATGCAAACTGCAGTTGGGTTACTATATTCTAGATAGAGCTGTAGACATTCTCTGTCGTCATCACCATTTCTCGTCTAGTTTCCTAGGTGTCGCTGGCCCATAGAGATACATAGAGTTACTGTATATGCTACCTTTAGGTAGCAGAGCAGCGCACTCGTTTTACAACGCCGCTAGTAACCATGCACTGCGGAGAAGCCGGTACACAGGCCGCACCGCTGAAAGTGCTCGCCCTCCACCTGGAATCTATCAAGTG